ACTAGGTAGGCCTACTGAGTAAATAGAACTTTGTAATTCTATTGTAGCGACTTCTATTGATATGTGTTTTAAGACTTAATGATTAAGCTGAATCACAGTTTCTGTAGAGCCAACCAACCCCCCACCCCCCACCCCCCCCAAAAAAAAAACCGGCTATATTTCCCCACGAATAGAATGCGCGAGGGGTGATAGTCACGCTGACGGCGTGAAGTAGAGCGAACAAACCACACCAAACATCCGCTAAATGTTTCAGGTGTAGTATGATGAACACTCTCAGGTCAGATTGGCCCCGACAAATTATATTTTAGTTTAGTTTTAGTATGAATTTCACGGCACTTGCAGCACACTAAGGTCATATTTTATAAGTGCTGAAGATTATAGGTGTTACAAAAGGGTAACAAACACAGAAAAGAAGTAGGAGAGATCAGGACGATAGACGTTTGATAGGAAAGAAGGAGCAAACCACACCAGACCACCAGCCGACATACATGTATATTTACTCTTTTTGTTTCCTGAGAGAGTAATTACAATAACAACAACAACAACAACAATATCAACAACAACAACAACACATTGGTGATAATATTTCTTTACTTGACTTTGCAAACATGAAACTTGAAACTTGTCTTGTAAGCCCTTAAAGTCACATTCTCCAAAATATTACAATGTATTCTCTTACACTTCAACTTTTAAAAATATACACTCCCTCAGGCGTTCATTACAAATTACATCTACCATGAACAACAAACATTACAAAGAAAGTGCTCTTCGGGGCATGGGAATTGAAAACTTCCACTTTAGCTAGCTATCAAAATATATCATTGTATCGATAAATTTTTGTTGAAGTGGGATCTGTGTGTATAGTGCGGCATTCTAGTCAAAAGCCCACGTTTAAGTTAAAGATTCCAATTGGGAAAGAAAACTTCCTTTCAAATCTCTCCCGTTCGTAAAGCCAGTGTCCTTGGCAGCTGAAGGCCGACCTGTTATGTTTTTGTTGTTGCTGTTGTTATTGCCCTTGTTGTTATTATTGACTGTTAGTAGTGTTATTATTGTTGTTGTAATTGTTGTTGTTGTACTTGCTGCTGTTGTTCAAGTATAACATCCTACTACTACATGTAGGCCTACTACGTGCACATACAATGTACCGGTAGGTTATTTTATCGCCCCCTCTCCCCCCCCAACCCCAAAGTCTGTACGTGTAGGTGGTACCCACATCATTCTCAAATCTGACTCTATTTTATAGGAAACCGGTACCGGTACAGAGCTATAACTTGCTAAGTTTTAAAAAATGAAATACACGTTATGTGGAAAATCCCCAGGCCTGCTGGGCTTTTGGCATCTTGTGTCATAAGGTACTTCATTCAAAGCAGCCAGTCCTCTGCCCGCTTGTTTGTTAGTTTTTGTTGTTTTGTTTCAACGCAATTACAGTCATTTAGTGTTGGGGGAAAAGTAGGACAGACAGACAGACAGAAGCAACAGGTGGAAAGGACCTACCACTGGCGCCCTCCGCAGTCCTCTGCAAAACATCCAATAAACACTGAGTGACAGTGTTGTGTTGTGTACACAAATGGGTCTGTCCTTTTTGTAGCATGGCACACTCGAAACTACAACTTAGTTGTGCTAAATTCATTCCAGACCAAAGCCTGACCAATCCCCTTTTAGTTTTAGTAAGAGTTTTTTAGTTTTAGTAGAGGTTTTTCGGCACTTGTAACACAGTAATATCATATATAAGTACCGAATATTAGAGGTGTTACAAGAGAGTAACAAACATAAAAAAGGAGAGACCAGGATGACAGATGTTTGATAGGAAAGAAGGAGCAAACCACATCAGAGCACCCGCCAACCACCCACGACCAATCTCTAATGGGATTTTTGCCTTCATCTTCCAAACAAATAAAATAAACAAACTGCATACTACATGTATACATTTGTGTAACGTAAGTCAACCCATTATGTTCTATTTCTATTATTTTAGCAGCTGAATAATAACACTGGGCAAGACAAAAAAAACTGCCACAACATGGTGGAAGCAGTCGCTTGTCAATTTTTACGCATATATGGGGTTATTGGTACATTCTTAAAGTTTGTCCAAATGTCTTGTACTTGATGGAAAAATATCAATCAATCTTGAATAAAAGTCGAGATATTTGCAATTAAAGGAGGTGGAGGCGGGGTCGCCCGGTTTCACTAGTAAAATTAGTGGTAAAATTAGCGACAAAATGAATGGCAAAGTTGAGTGATGTCCAAGGCTTGAGTGTCCTTCAAAACTGAAAATTTATATTTTTGGTGCCTTTGACTTTGATCAACGTTTTTTTTCCCCAATAAAATCTACATAAAGAAATAAATGTTTTTAAAAGGATAAAAAGATAAAAATTACCCTCCTGCTGAGATAATGTCAGTTTCTTCAATTTTATTATTTTGATAAGTGCCTGATTTCACCAGGAAGCCACACATGTAGAACACTACACAAGACTTTAAAATCAATCACAAACACAGACATGCGGGAGCATGTGTCGCTCATGTGTCCAGACTTTTTAATTTAAAGACATACAGGGGAAAAAAACTCAAAGCAAAAAGAAGAATACTAGATCTAGTCTCTTTATACACACAGGCAGTGCAGAATTACTTTTTTCAGTTCCACAATGAGATTTTACAAAATATTAACGCTTCACCACAATTTGAAGTCTATGGGACCTAAAATGGGCTTGTTTGTTTTTTCTCCAAAAGAGAGAAGGGGGGGGGGGTTAATTTCACTTAAAATGTCTTTGTTTGTTTGAGTTAAAGAGAACATTTGTTTGTTTGTTTGTTTGAGTGAGTAAAGAGAAGAACATCAACACAATAATTGTCATTTAATGCTGGGAAAAAGTAAGACAAACAGAAACAACAGAGGGAACGTACAGAAATAGGACCTGCTTGAGGCACCCTCCAACCACCTGCTCCCAATTTCTAAAATAGTTAAGCATGGGCATGAAAAGACTTGGGTTTTCATTAAAAATAAATCCCTTAACGAAGTGCACTCCATGATGCTGTCAGAAAAACCAAGCCTACGACGGAGATCAACACAAATGCACCACTTTCTCTTCTCCTCACACAAAAAAAACAATAACAATAACAGTCACAAAGACAGTAAGATCACAATATCATTTTAGCAAAAAGTACAGACATAATCTGATAAAATCCTCATAAAAATTCATCAAAGGCTGCTGGCAGTTTGCAGATGTAACATTATACCCATACAGAAACGCGCGTTCACTTTCAGTCACTCCACAGATCAGTTCATTACAGTTCATGACAAGCACAATATTGAGGGAGGGTTCACTCTTAATAATTGCAAATGCTTTGCACTCTCATCAACTCAATATAAATCATCTGAGAGGTGGGGCTGTTTCAACCCTACCAATCAAGGCTAACCCTGACTGAGAAGACAAATTATCCCCACAGGCATATGCTATACTACAAGTATAAGAAACTTCCTCAAAGCAGGAATTGAACTCAGATCTTCTGCCTGCAACAATGAAGATCCTAACTATGACATCACAAACGCCAGTTTGAGTATCCAGGGGAGAAAATATAAAAGCTTACAAAACCTTGGCGGTGAGACGAAGCAGCTTCTGTCCTCATGACAAGCACCCCAAAATGTGAGAGTCCGTAAATATAATGTTACAATGCTTCATAGAAACCAGTACCCTAAAATATGCAAGTCAGCAAAAAGTAATAAGGTTACATTTCTACACCCGCACATACACACCAACATTGTCAAATTTTAAATCGTCTGTCAGTCAAATTACATACAAAATAAACAACAGTAATTCAGTCTTCAGCTCTCACCAGAGTTTGCCTTGCATTAAGTTATTTCATAATGAACCTGAACTCTGAGGTAAAATAATATCTCTGTCAAACATTTTACACTTCTTCATTCAAACAAATAAACTATTGAAGCTGCAAAAGGCCCTTTAAAAAATCATGAAATCGGTGTCGCGAAAGCCTCAACAACAGAAATCTTTCACTGAGGCATTTATAAATGTACAACCTTTCTTTACATTTTTTCCCCTTCATCAAACAAAGACACCAACGCCAGCATAAGACAGTAAGTGATAGTTATGATTTTCTTTCTATACCTCACTCCATTCAACCATGCCATTTAGCATATTTAAGGGCAACACTGAGACTATCTTAACAACAATCATAAGAGATATTTTTCTTGTATCCATAGAACTAGACCCTGTTACTAAATGCATTCATATAATGATGGCATAAATTTCTGCCCGACTCTTGACTTAACAGAACAAAAGAAACAGTGAGAGGGAGAGAAAGAAGAAGAGAGTCCAAGAGAGAGAGTCCAAGAGAGAGAGAGAGAGAGAGAGAGAGAGAGAGAGAGAGAAGGAAAGAGTCAGAGAGAGAGAGAGAGAGAGAGGGGGGGGAGAGAAAAAGAATTAGAAAACAACAAATTTGTCTTATACTTGTGGGAAAATATGCTTTACAATGACTTATTATCATCTTCAAGCATGACATAACATTACAAAGACAAGTGGAATTGCACTTAGAGCTGTGTAGATTTATTGTGACTCTTTGTCAACACACCAACTGCTCATCTTCTCATCAAACTTGCCTGAGTCACTTCACTCGGAAGCCTCATCTCTCCCAATAAACAGTACATCTCACACTTTGCTAGAAATGCTTTCACTCATCACATGTATATTTGAGGAGTCCACTGAAAAAAACGGCATAGTCACAAACTGGAAATTGTGAGGGTGTCAATTTTAAAAGCTTGTGGACTCATATTTATTGTTTCATTGCTGGGTTATTTTATATGTTTGTTGGATGGAAAACCTAACAACAATAATCAACCAACAGCTGAACAGAAATACAGCTATGAGTCAACAAGTGTTCAAAATTGATACCCTCACGATTTTCAGTTTGTGACTATGCCCATTTTTTTCAGTGGACTCCTCATTTATTAAAACATCAGTCACAGAACTTCATAATGAGACATTTTTAAAAGTCTAACATCTTACCTGAAATGCCTGCTTAGATTTGAACAAGGATAGAGAAACAATTATCTCCTAAAAGCAGAAAATTTTGATTTTTTTTTTTTTTTGGTCTTTTAACGGAGTTCAAGACTGACAATTTAAAAAAACGAAATCATAACAAAGGTCATAAGAAAGAAGGAAACAATAAACTGCACAATGAAACCAATCCCATGACAAATGAAAGGCGACAATCAGAATAAATAAGTATATAAAGAACATACACAAGTACAACCTTAATATTTTCTTTGTAGCGGGTACTCACTCGCGACCTCTGGCAGACATATACTCTTATCAGCTAGCACAAACTTATTTCACAAACTCATTTCTTCACAAACTAATTTTACAATTTCATATCCCCCCCTAGGAACGGACACAACTGACTGTTATTCCAGAGTTGCGTTGTAACTTTCAAGAGCTGCTTCCAAAAACAGTACATGTATTTTTTTTAAAAGCAAAAGAGTTCCATGACAAAAACCACCACACAAAAAAACTCCTGAGCCTGACTATCACTGTAATTTCACATGTTCTATTCTTCTATCAACCCAAGTTACATTCTTTAAGAGGCAGGCTGCTTTAATCCAGCCAGCCAGAGCCAACTCATGTTGAAAGGGAAACTACATCCCAGCAGACAGAAGGACATAATCAGTTGTTTTTTTTAATCTTCCCTACACGGGAGTCAAACTCAGGCCTTTTCCATGCGTCAACAAAGAGCCGTACCATTACGTCAAAAATGCCCGTGCTAGCAGATCCTCTGCAAAATAGTTCCCTCTCCTCTGCCCCACCCCACACCCGTTCGCACTTTACTGAAAATGAAAAGTCAGGAATTTTTCCAAGCCGCTGTAGTGGGATCGTATTCGATTCACCTATCTATGATGGCATTAGTTAGCACCAGTTTCCTCACTGCTCTTAGCTCTTTCATTTGCTTCTCCCTTTCAAAACTCATCCTTTAGTAATAACATCTTTCACACAAAGGGCATGCGTAATTACCGGCAGACAAAAGACCATTACACAACAAATACAAATTATATATCAAAACTCTGTTCTGAAGACTTATGAATTGTACATCTCAAACAACGAGCCTTCAATAGCAAAACTAGATAAAATAAACAGACCCTCTAGAGACTTATGGCCAGTTTTAACCTTCCAGATCACTGCTGTGAAAAAACTGAACTTGAGGAAAGGTATCTAAACAGGAATGGACATTGACAAGTATATCCAAAAAATAAATCTCGAAGTCAGAAGACTTTTGTTAACCTGTTACAGACATCAGAAATATTTTAGAGATCCAATGCGACTACATACGTTGCTTCAAAATACCCAAGTCATCTCCAAGATAAAACTCGGCCTTGCAGCAGGTCTTGTCAAAGACAGGAAAAACAATGAAAGCTGGACAAAAACGACTTCCTAAATGCCCCTTTTGTTTCATAAATGCTAAACCTTCTCATGAACTAGACAACAATAACACTGACAATCTCATCATTAGCGGCTCTGCATTTTTCCCCCAATCTGGAGACAAAGACATTTTTTGTTCCTTTCAACTGTTAAAATGTTGGTGTGGCATCTGCTGAGATGTATTTACGAGACTCACACAGCTCCTCTGTTTATATATAAATACAGTTGGGCACAGATAACACGAACACTCAAAACTCAAAATCACAGATAGCTCGTACAAAATGGCATTCCCAGACAGAAACACTATGTTTTCTTTGCACAGACGACTCTTTTCTCAAACATCCATCCATAAGGATTTGTCGTACAGCTTGTCTCGAAAAATCCGATCAAGTTTTTCCTCACAACTGTCCAAAATTCAACTGGAAAACAAAATGTCCATCATCATCGAGAGCAACAGGCTACAGGAGCCCACCAGGCTCCCCCCCCCCCCCCCCCCCCCCCCCAGTGTGATACATATACACTGCTGGAATCGAGAACCATCATTGCATTTCACCTGAAGAAGAACTTCTTTGAATCTAATTTATCTAGTAAAGTGAGGGGGAGTATTAGGTGATGGTGACGTGATCAAAAACAGACAGTGTGGCGTTGCATTGTGCCATGTGGAGATGGCATCACTTAAAAAGTTGAATGCAGGAAATTCCCAAAATTAAATCTGAAATAGTGATTTATTTTCTGACTATTGTACCATCAGTTACTCCCCTTGATTTTCTTCAATTGTCTCTCCAAATTTCTCCTTCATGCAATTTATCAGAATTGTGAAAGTATCAAACACATTTCTCAATCCCTGACATGTCTGAGTAATCTAGGCCCAACCGTATATATATTTAATTGTACTGCAATCGTATATAAATGTTTTAAGCCCCTATCAACTCAATTTGGATCACATAGGCAGGTTGCTCCCACCCTGCTTGTCAGGGCTAATCTGGGTTGTGAGGAATATAATACCCCAGTAGCCGGACAAAGACACGAGATTTTTAAAAAACTTCCGCACTTAGGAATCAAACTCATGACTTTCGTATGCAGCTGCAAAAAGCCTCAACAATACACCACAGACGATGGTTCCAACACAGCCCATCCAAAGTTGCAGGGACAGGAGAATCTAGAACAATCTTTGCTACGGTAAACAAAAAGACAAAAAGGTAATTAAAAAAGCTTTTTTTCATTGTGGCACAGGCAACCCTTCCAGTCTCTTCCAAATTGCAGAAAATACATGAAATATAATTTATCAAAGCATGCATACTGAAGACAAAAAAAATTAGCATTAAATACTGAAAAAAAAAGTATGAATCTTTATTAAATGAAAGAACGTTTTACCAATATTGAAGTACTTCATATAGATTGAAAGGGCATGCAAACTTCACCACTCCCAAAATCACATTTGATGCGAAAAGGATCTAGTTAAGATTTCAGAAAAGAACAAAATATCAAATCTCAAACACTAAAGCAAGAGAGAGCAGCAATTTCTTGTGCTAGCCTTCGGTCAGCCAGCATAAATTCAGTGTATTTTATTCACTAAAGTACCTTCTCCTTTACCTATAGATATAAAGTTTAACTCTTCTCATTTCAAAGAGTCAAAGTCGTCGCAATGGTACTGATAAAGTACATCAATGGTAGATGAAAACATATCCCCCTTGCTTGACTTCAACAACCGAAGTAAAGTGAAAGGTTAAAAAAAACACCCTGTACTACTCTCCTCATTTCATTTCATCATACAAATGAGAGACTCTCAATACTCTAAATATTACAAGTTCTGATTTTCAAATTTTTCAAAAGAAGGAAAAAAGAAAAAAGAAAAAAATGAAAAACATTGCTGTCTGCAACTTCAAATCTGAAACAACTTACAATGAATGACATTTGGCTCAGTGTTGAAAACTCTTTGTCTTACCACTTTGCTTCCTGCTTTGTATTTCTCGCAATGTACACACAGGTGATATGAGTCACCTATAAGAAAGTAAAATGTTAACAGCCACTGTAGGTCATTCATAAGTTGATTATCTATACCAGTCTCGTAACAGAATTATCATCTATTACTGCAAATAAATCATTTCTGGTCGAAATTTCAGTTACATGACCCGATGGAATGATATCTTCTTTGAAAAAAATGTTGATATCAAACGCCGCAAGAAATAGTTGTTACATCACTCTGAGCCATCGTCTTCAGAACTGTAGTCTGAGTCATCATCTTCCGTCTCATCCTCATTATCCTTGTCCTTCTCATCCTCGTCCTCTGAGATGTCCCACTGCGGATGGTCCTCTATCACCTTAGCCTCCTTTACATCAAGCTGTGAAAAGTAATAATAATATATGACATTTATATTGTGCTTAACCTCGATTACAGAACACAGGCTCTGAACGCTTTACAAACACAGGTAGAAACACATAAACAGTACATAGTGCTCTGATTAGAAATCTTGATCTATATCTATAAGACAGTACAGTCGAAGCTGCCAAAACCAAAACCTGTCCAAGATGGAAATTGTCATACTAAAATCTCCCTGCTCTCCCTCATGATCTCCTTCTTCTCGATTACATCACACTTTAAGTCACTACATGGACTTTGTTACTGTTTACAGATTTAGGAAATATTTTATAGTCTGTGAGATATTGCCATCTAAAAAAGGTCAGCAACATCCACCAAAACGTGGCTCATTTTTTAGTGTGGGTCAAGAAAGCAACCTTTGCCCTTGTAATAATCCGATTCTTATTTTTTTTAATGGCCAGGGGTCACTTATAAAGTATAGTCTATTCTTATTTGATGTGTGTTTACATTATATAGCAGTAGAAATTTCCATCCTGACACTGTCCGGTTCAGGGTCCAGCGCAGAAGTGCACAACCCGACCATCTCTGGCTCGGGGCTGAGCGAGTTAACAGGGTTGGCCATGTTCCCTGTCTCAGGGCCCTGTGTGTCTTGCAGTGCTGAAGGATGTGATCCACAGTTTGGTCTGCCTCTCCACACTGGCATTTTGGTGATTGTATTAGTTTAAAACATCTGTACATGTGTTGTCTCAGTCTTGTGTGTTGTAATCTAAGTCTGAAGATAATTGCTTGTTCTTGACGGGACAGCTCATGGTAGCCTGTCTGGTGTCTGTGGTGCTTTAAATAGTGTATTCATAAGAATTTTTTTCTGTGTAGTTGATGCTGTTGCCTGGTGGCTCTTTCTGTGCGCCTAGTGTAGCCATCCTGTTTGCCTGTTCTTTTCCTGACACACCACAGTGTGATAGGATCCACTACAGCATGATCCTTAGGCATGGGATGCCCCCAATTACTTCTCCTAGCCTTGGAAGTTTGCTGGTAGTGATTGCCTGCAGTACAGGCATGGCATCTGTTAGGAATACTACTTGGCTTTGGGGGTCTACCACATCCTTGATGATACCCTCATGAATAAATTCATTTAAAATACACCTGTCTTTGACAGAAACCTGCTCAACCCGGAAACGAAAATAGAAATCCTTTCGTTCTGGGGGATTTTGATCTGTCAAAGACAGGAAATGCTTTGCTCGCCCAGCCTTGATTCGAACCAAAACTCCCACATTGTGATTGAAGTGCTCAATAAATACACAATATTTCGTCTACCATTGAGTGTGACGTTTTCAGAGCCAAAACGTGATGAAAGTTGTTGGAACTTTGAGATGGTTTTCAGATATCAAAATATTTTTCCTGTGGTGAGCAATATTATCAAAGATCAATTCTGCTTTTCCCTATTCTTCATATCACATGAACAATGCCAAGATTGTTGATAGGATTGTTTAACCCTATCCGTACGTCGTGTTTTACTATCGTATCCATACAACGTGGGGAACTCTGTGTCACCACTTTCAAAGAGGAAATTTACTGGTTAATACGATCCATATGCTTTGCACCACAGTCTGTCAAAAGGATTTTTTGAGAAATAATGAAAGTTTCAAAGAGATCTTCAGACTAGAAGTATTCTAAAATGTGAACAAAACAACCCCCGAGGGGTACAAAATGACCCCAGGACGTACGGATAGGGTTAAAGTCAGGTAAAAAAAAAGACTAATACATGCTATATGAAGTTTCAGCATAATGCCATTTTCATAGTTCTTGGAGGAAACTGGTATCCTGCAAAAATGAGACAAATTCCAGAATTGATTTTCTCTTTCACCAATATAGCCCTTCTCACCTTTATCGTCTGAGACTGGTCGAAGTCGCCATAGTAAGAATCTGACCTGAGCACCACGGTAAACTGAAAATGTCCCGGTTTGTCAGGAGCCGAGAACTTCAGTTGCACCTGGGGAAGGTAGGTTTTTTTTAGTTTTAGTAAGAGTTTTACCGCACTTGCAACACAATCAGGTCATTAGAGATGTTACAAAAGAGTAACAAACAACAAAATGAAAGATGAGAGATAAGGACGATGGATGTTTGATAGGAAAGAAGAGGCAAACCACACCAGAGCACCCGCCAACCACCCACAAGGGAGGGGGTGAGTGAGTCAACAATAGGCTTGTTCAAACTGACCACAAAGGGAAGCTTATATAACCAAATTGTGTTCGATATCACCTTATACATATGAAGAAGCCTAGCTTTTATTTCATTTACTTATCCATGATTGAACAGAAAATGTGCGATTGACAGAACATATTAGGATAAAAATTCAATGTAAGTAAAGAGAACCATATTAATACAACAATGATCATATAAAGCATAGAAAGAAACAAAACAGATAAGCAGAAACAACAGTAGAAAGAAAAGAAGAACCTACCACTGACATTCTCCAACCACCCGTAGATAACAACTTCATTTATTCAAGTACGAGTATTACCGCATTTGCAACACAGTGAGGTCATATAAGCGCCAAAGATTAGAGGCGCTACTAGACGGTAACAAACAAATAAAAGGAGGAGGATCGGATACAGGAAAAAACCATAGATGTTCGATCGGAGAGAAGAGACAAACCACATCAGAGCACCCACCAAGCATCCAGATAACAATTTAGGGAATAAAATAACACACAATTGTAATTTAAGTCCGCTAAAAAATTTGTGTTCTCCCCTCAAGGCACTGTTTGTAACAGCAGCTGGTCATATGACATCTCTTTCCTGCCTTGTGTGGGGATGAAATGAGAGCTGACAGTTTTAAAGGCAGGGTAGTTGGTTCTTCGCCAGAGTTTTCGGGTACAAGGGGGCATTTTAATTACGACAATAATAAATGTTTGCTCAGTTATTTCCACCTCATTCTACCATGCTCACGAACCAGGAAAATAGCTGGATGTTATCTCTTTGAAAACTGAGCTCCTGAACCTACCATGACCCGAACACCTGACCGACTATCCAGGATGCTGGCAGCAGGGACTGATTAAACACTTCACAAACTGTTTCATTCACACTTCTTTCCTTCAAATTTCACAACACATGCTCGCGATTACTTCCTACCTCAACCCTGCACTAAATAGCTTCTTTTATTCTAACTGAATAGAAAGAAAACTGCACAGACAGGAAGGGGTGTTGCTGATCCCTCTATAGCGAAATCTCGGAGCACACGGAAATTAGAGGTTCCGCTACAGCAGGATTTCAGGTTCAAAGGGTTAAAGGTAAGAAATCTTGACTGCATTGAAGTCTGAAAAACCAACAATCTAGCCACACAAAAAACCTCCCATAACTATAAAATTAACAAGATTGAACCCACCGATATCTGACCTGCTGGAGAGTCATCGATTTAACTGATCTTGAACTTTGGTCTAAACACGCTTGCAATCATCCAATTTTAGGCTTTGAGACAATTGAAGTCAATCCCTCTTATCCTCATAACCCCCCCCCCTCTCTCCACACGGCACGCATGCCCGCACACACGCAAGCACAGAGAAATTAGAGATGGCGCAAGCACACGCACCCACATGCACAAACACAACAGACAAACAATTACCTCTTCATCTGTTTTCAAACTGCACACATGAACGGGAGCTGTGATGAGCAAGTGATGCTTGCGATCTGCAACGTACACCCACCACCCCTCTTGCTTTTCCTGTGAAAGATATTTTTTAAACATATTGAATATAGTACTGCTAACACTCTTTACTTTACAACTTTTTTTCTAAATATCTCGCACAAAATTTGTACTAGAATGTTATCATTTGGAATAAATATAATTCATTCAAAAGGAATTTGTTTGACATACACTTCACAAAGAAGAAGCTTGTTTTTGAAAACGGAAAAGGCTTTTATAAAAACCACCTAAAAACGCAAAACGCACCAATTTAAAAGATCTTGTAAGAGAAGTCATAAAATGATTGGTTTTATTTTTCCCTTTCCTTTTATTTTAAAAATCTAAATTTTCTGTCCCTGTAACCTTTAAACAATATTTCTTTTCTCCTACAGAGTTTTAAAATTCTGGAATTCCGAGAACCAATGTTCTATATGTCCTCCTTTGGACTCAACACATTTTAAAGCGTCGTTCGTAATGTTCAGAGTGGCCAAACACAAGGATCCATTCAACCATGAGTACCCAAAGCTACATACACTGCACACCTTACAGTATGGAGCTGTTTCTAGAGACAATAAGGGGAGGGGTGAGGTGGCCCAAATAGACAACATTTGTGGAGTTCATATAACCTGAAAGGTTAATATGGGCTTTGCCAAGGAACCAAAATGTCATAGAAGAAATGTCCACGCTTTTCAAGGCGATGGAGGAATCATGAACACTCTGTTATCCTCTGATAGTTTCGCGAATGGGAAAATGGGAAAGTCGCAGATGAAGATCTGCTCTGAGAATCTACTGAATTCTGCACCCTGGTGACGTTTAAAGGGGTGCGAACGGTGTGTGTTTGACCTGAAATGGTCATTTTGTCTGGAAATTTTAAGTTCTGATTCTCTACAGGTACTAACTGAGGAACCATTTCCACCCTTGACATCAAAGAAGGCCTTAGGGGTACTAAAACATTATTTCTGTACCTTGTGCGAAACTTACGAAATGAGTTGGTGGTGAGGCAATGTTCATTGCAAAAAACTCTCTGCTCTTTACTGATCTTAACCATGATCACAGCAGGCAAAGGAAACTTGAGAAAAACTATCTGCAAACTTCTGCTGACTACTGAAGTATGCAATATGGCTCAATCGTTGGGATTTTTAGAGGTAGGCCTTATGCAAACTAATGCGCCATGCTACAAATATGGGGACATAGCTGAAAATGGGTTGCTTTTTTACGCGCAGGTAAAACAAAACTGTTCTGTAGATTTTTCAAAAATGAATATCAAACAAATTCCTTTTGACTTCCAAATGTTATGTACAAATTTGAAGCGCAAAACTTAAAAGTGGAGGAAAAAAATTTTTTTTTAAAAGTTGTACAGTTGTTTTTAATCACACTGTACTTTCACCACAAAATTAGCAACGAATGACAACATGTCTCTACATGGAGAGTAAAAAACCTACTCACTCCTGGAAAGTATGGGCAATGGACTAGATGGCTTTCTTTTTTCTTAGTGTCTAGAGAGTTCTCCTTCTTGGACTCCATCTTGTAGTTATCCCAGTCTTCATCATCATCGTCGTCGTCTGTCGATTTTTTGGCCTTGGCCGGTTTGGCCGCGCTTGAGCTGGTCTCTTGTGTAGTTTCCTCCTCCTCCTCAGTTGCGTTGTTCTCCTCCTCCTCCGACGCATCTTCTCCGTCCTCTTCGGTCTGGCCCTCTTTCTTCTCCGCTTTCGATGACTTGGTTGGTTTCGGAGAATCAGTCTCAGTGCTTGTCTTCTGCTTATAAGGAAGATATGAACAAACAAAAAAACACAATCAGTGCTACAGTTCCATCGTCAAAAAACAAAAAGTCGCAAAAGTCCTCTCTTCAGGAAACACTAAACTAAACTGAAGTCATTGCTTTAAGACTCCTCAAATTTAGTTGACAAAACTTGGGATCTTTGCTTATGGACACTTTCTAGAAAGGGAGTCGTTTCTGGTAAGCATATAAAGACTAGACCAAAATAGAAAAATGATCAAAGTCACAACCTTTAAATTACTGAATTACTGATTTAACAAAAGTACTACTGTCTTATAGGACTGCCCACCCACCACTATATGTTTTAGTAATCAGCGAATAAAAAAGTATTACACTAGGTATTAAATTCATAATATGACCATGGATAGTCTTCTTCCCTGAGGTGTCAAGGGCAGCGGTTACAATCAAGCAAGTATAAATGTAATGTTAACAACGCTGTGATGAAAATCAGATCCAGGCAGGCTCGTCATTGTTAAGTTAAAAACATATGGGGGGGGGAGAGTTTCTGCTTGCATAAACAAAAGAAACTTCAGGAACTACAAAACACTTCACAAGCCTTTGATCATGATTGGATTGCGTATCAGAACACACCATGCCACGCACCCACCCTAGCTAATTGTATCGTTTCAAACAAAGACCCATTTTTTTTTTAATTCTCTCAATGGCCAAAGCTTCACCCACAACACAAAAGGGCAGGAATTTTTCAACACCTTATCAGTCTAATGTTTGCCTTACTCACGACTTTGAACTTCTAAAATCTCATGTTTTTCTACAGGCAAAGTGGTACTGAGTGACTACAAGAACTCAATGTTAAAGGACAGCTGCATGTGATGTAGTGATGTAGACAGTTTTTGTCTGGTATTTTTCTCCCCTTATACACTGGGCAGGTTGGCAGTGGCTTGCGACAGTCAAAATATATATATTTTTAAAAATTGGAATCAGAAATATTACTGTCGTACTTTTGTAAAACTGAATAAAAATCTTAACATTTCCACCAAATTTGCAATGACGGGCAGCCCTGGTCTTAGCTTACTCTTTAAAAAAAACTGTCAAAATGAACAACTAGCTCAGTCCCGAGTAACAAACCCTTTTTATGACAGGGTACAATAGAAAAACAATTGAAGTAGAGCATGTGTTGAATCACTGACAACAGACCGATGTCTGTTGTGTAGCCTTTAGGTACTTCACCATTGCATGCAGAGGACCAGAGTTCCATTCCCATGTAGGGAGACTATTTTTTAAGCATGTAACTCTTTCTGCTGGGACGTTGTCTTCCTCTCCGTTCAGGTTGGCCCTGATATGCAGGATCAAAGCCCGCCTCCTAAATTACCTCAATTGCGTCCATGGGGAGTGTAAAAACACCATCTTTTTTTTAAACCAAAAACAAACTTACAGCAGCAGCAGCGGCGGCAGTAGCACTCTCCACCTTGGCCTGCGCAGCCGCCTTCCACTGGTACACCTGCTTGGTCTTCTTCTTCACCTTTCCTCCCTTCTTCTTGCCTTTGCCTTTGTTTTTGTCCCAGCTCTTGCTCTTGCTGTCTGCCGCGTTGGCTACCTCTCCCTGGACACGACACACAAAAGGAGAGAAAAGAAAGACATTATTTTTTTTTCAATTCTTGTTGATGAGGAGAAAAGTAAGCCACATTATTATTTTCTTATTTTTGTTTAGAGGGAGAAAAGTAAAACTCCATTGTTTTTTGTTCTTGTTTGTTTGTCTATTAACTCTTCGTGTCCCGTGAGCCGGTGAGAGCGGCTCAGGGTGAAGTGGATTTGGCCGGCAAGCTGCTAACAGCGACTCGCTACAAGCGGTTCGCTACACTAGCCTCCATTAAATACACGTGAAAGTAATATTTCACGACATCAACAGAAATTATGGTCGCAAATACCGAAAATAGGTCTTTTTCTGTTTGCACTCTCATTCTGCAGCGTTTGTGAGGGCGCACAATGCTAGATTTGATGGTTTGTTTCCCAACAGCTGATTTTCGGTGTCTATTTTGTCTGTGTTTGTTAGGGAGATTATCATCGCTGAAGATTGCTCCTGAAATAATTATAGAGACAGTTTTCTTGTTTGGATTATACTGAGTCAAAATTTTCATTCAATTTGGATATTATAAATCTAGATCTACATGTTGGATCTTGCTGAAGCTCTATTCAGGTTAGTTCATCATAAGTCTGTGAATGTGACTTTTTTTTATATACGGTTATTGTACACCTTATATTACACCTGGATACTTCAAAGAATTACTGGGGGCTCTCGTGGCCTAGAGGTTAAGGTGTTGGCCTCTCATTCAAAGGTCCCGGGTTCGAATCCGGGTAGCGACCAAAAAATTTTCTTCTCTAAAATTGTCTCCTTTCACCTCCTTTCCTGCTCTCTTGCAATGTTCTGTTGTCTGCTTCCATTTCCACTTTCTGCCCCCATCCCCTCACCTCCTTTGCCCCTTCCTCTGGGCTCCTGACTCTTTCTGCAGCCTTTCTACTGCTACTCCTTGGCCCCTCCTCACTGCTGTCTTTCTGCCACACCCCTGATCTTCTGGTAGGAAAGATCTACACCTAGCCTTCTCGGACAAGGGCGAAAAATCTCGGAGGGCCCGTGTGCAAGTTGCGCACGTTAAAGATCCCTTGGTGGTCTAAAATCGATAAGAGTAGGCTTCATCCGCCACCCGGGCAAAATTCAAAATTTCCTACCAATTGAAAATATTAGGTGTGTCCCGCGCGCTCATATGACCTATGCAGTTGCGAGCGCCGCAAAACACTTTACAAAAACAAAACAAACAAAAAGAATTACTCAAAATTACTTTCAAAATGTGCATAAAGACAGTTTTCACATTTAGGTATATTCAAGCAAAACTATAAATGTAAGCCTTTGATTTATTGTACAACAAGTGTGTATATATGGAAATCTAGATCTAGATCTAGCTGTGTTTACACTTTTTATGCCGAATGTGGGTTCTGATACAACATTTTTTATTTGGGTGTATTTGAAAAGAATGGGCTTCAAAGTAGCTACAGTCACCATGAATGTAATCCTAGAATGTATATCAACATTTTTGCTTCTTTTACTTTGGCTCTGTGTTCAAGTTTTATAAAGTTACACCCATATTTGTGTGAAAGGTGTTAAGTAATATTGCAACATTTTGGGGGCTAATGACCATTTACTTCAATAGTCTATTTTTTATACTTCAAAAAAGGCATCTAAAATGAACACCAATAAATGCAACTTTCATTTCTAAACACAAACATACCAAAAGTTTTGAAGTGGACCTAGTAGTTTGAAAGTTATATAGAGTTTTGTAACCCACCCTACTGCTGTATAGGATCAGTCCCTGGGAGCCTTCGGGCAGAATTAAAATCCTCTACCAACATGAAGAGTTAAGGCTTTTACTTTTTAATTGTTGGTGGATAAACAGGAAGATATCGATAGAATAAAAACATGCAAGGTAAACATGATATTTTCACTTTTTTTTTACTGTTGGTGAAATCGGTATTAAAAACATTAAGGAATCCTTAGAAATCAAATGAAAAACTTGCCTGATTTCCTTCTTCAACAGCCTCCTCATCCTCATTCTCTTCTTCGTTCTCCCCATCAACCTCTCCGGCAGCCTCTTCCACAGCCGTCTCCTCGTCGGTGAGGATCATGTCTTGCTCAAACATGTCCCCCATGTCCTTTCGCACCAGAGACACCGTCACAGTCACAATAGAGCCAGCCGTGATAGTTGTGTCCTCTTCATCCAGCACTGAAAAAAAAAGCCCACGACTCATAACAGTTTGTTTTAGTAGTTTTACGACGCTCACAACTGCATAAGGTCATATGAGCGCCAAGGGGTGGATGTCTGCAGAGAAGTCCTTACAGGGAATCAGACTTAATCTGCTCACCTCTCTAGCTTCAGCAGCACAAAGTCTGCTTCGACTATCAAGGCACCTCGCAAATAGCGGGTCACAAGAGTGTGACAAACATACAAAAGAAGTAGAGGAAAATGACAATAGTAGGAATTAGGAAAGAAAAAGCAGCAGTTCCCAGTTGTAGATCAGGCACAGTTATGAGCATGACATTGTTAGATCAGCCCATTTACAATTCTACTGTGCATGAACGAGAAATGTCCCCCTTTTGAGAATGGCCTAAAGACACTTCAGTCAGTGGCACCGCCCCAGGGGGTTCGACTCATAACAGAGAGCAAACCCAAACAATCCCGATCTAGTACAACAATCGAACCTACTGTAACGGCCACCAGTCCAACCCACTACCCCCCTTGTGTTTTTGTTTTTTTCCCGTAACTGGGTCACAACGCGGTGGAATCAGGCACACGTCAATTTTTTGGCAAATGGGAGTTATTGGTATAATCTTAAAGCCTCTTCACTTGTCAAACGGGAAGAAAAATACTGTTTTCTTCGATTTCATTACTTTGACGAGCCCCTGATTTAACCATGAGGCCTCAAAATATATAATAATACTATCTATGACGCCCATCTTTAACAACCATTTTTCTCCTTGACAATGGGTAGCCGTCTTAGATCATTTCAACAGTACTTTTAATTGTTAATGTTTTAAACATCCCCTCTCCTCCGCCCATTCAACACACTTTAGATCATTTAGTAGGCGGGGTACTCCAACCTCAAACCAGACTCAGGGGAAACAGAATCCCAGCGGACTGAAAGAGAACTTCGATATTTAAACAAGTCCCTCACTCTAAAATTCAACACATATCTTTCCTGTGTGACTGCAAATAGTCTAACTACTACATCATTGACACTGGTTCTGTGATTTAAAGAACATGAAATGTAACTAAACATATTTTTGTTTTCATTAAAGATTAAGGTCAGAATAGCAAAAATTCTCATTCCTTTGCATTATAATATGCTCCAAGATAATTTTCCTTAACCCTTTCAGTGCCAGTTAATAAATTTTAGCATACCGTGGGAGAGCCAGGCCCTAAATGGGAAAAAGGCTGTACACAAAGGCTAGTCAAAACTATTTCTGTGAGAAACTATTTCCTATTCCAAAAAATAACAAAAAAATAAACATTCTCTCAGTAGGAAGTATTTTAAGCCACACAAGTTGAATACAAAAATGAAACTTGATTTTCAATGTTCGCACTGAATCCTTAATTTGATTATGTTGAAAATGGTACTGAAAGGGACACTAAAACACACTGGCTTTCCTCGAAATCGAAGAAAGTAATGGTTAAGGTTTACCTTCTGTCCTGACTTTCATCTCGAGGTAAGGCAACTGTGAACACACGGTCATCACATCTTTGTACTCCTGGTCAGAGAGTGTGCGCAGCATATTGCGTCTGTCATCGTGGTTCATGTTCACAAAGTCTCGGATGTGGCGGATGTCCCTCTGAAAGCAAAGACACACTTTTTTTTTAAAGGTCAATTCCAAGGAAAATCTACTAAAGAGGAACACAAGTAAAGAAAATTGAAAATTTTGCAGGAAGCATTTCATTCCAGACTATCAGACACATGGTGAATCGATTCCCAAACCAACTCCAAACTATACACAATAAAAATAGAGATTGAGGGAGGAAGAATGAACAAGGAAATAGACAAGACTGACACCCAGTGTCTTTAAAAAAAAAAAAAAAGAGGATCCATTTAATTAACATTCCCTTGCTTTAATTTTTTGTTCAAAGTTTTGTTGAAATTAGTAGAGATTACAAAGTTGTTGCCTTCTAAGGGTCCTCTATTTCTTTAAAGACGCCCTGTAAATAAACTTTAACTGCATTATTTTGCACATGCAACAATTTCTGCAGCAGATGCTGATGAAAGATGAAAGAGAACTTCATACTTTAAAAACAAAAGTTATTTCTCATCTAGTCTCACCTTCCTGGTGGTAAAATGTCGGAGCATGTCAGGGGTGATGTGCGGCAACTGCTGCAAGGGACTCGCCTTCTCATCCAGGGCCTGGATCACCATCTGGCTCATCTTCATGATATTCTCAATTGAGTCCAGACGAGGGGGCTGGCTCACTGAGTGAGGATAAGGGAATTTGTCATACGATAAGCAAGACATTTGTTTGTTGTTGTTCTCTCTTCAACTATAGGGAACCAGCATCTGTGGCGTTTAGTTCAGTTTAGTAGGCGTTTTACTGCCCTCGCAACTGCAAAAGGTCATGAGCATGTAAAACACAAGTTGGTTACATTCACAACAGTTCACAGCACGCCTTGGTTTTAGTCAATGATCAGAATAAGTGGTTAAAAAATTTAAGGTAAAAATTTCTTAACAATAACAGCAATTTAAAATAAGAAAATTTCATTTTATTGTAAACGATGGAGAACAGATTTTTCTAATTTCTACATTTATAAAACTTCCTTCAGTCCTTTCAGAATTCTAACATTCTGTTAGTATGTGTCTGATTGTAAAGTCAGTATCACATCCGACACAGAAGGGTTTCTCCTCTTCCTGCAGCAGGTATGAGGTGTCAAGAAGGTATGTCTGATATGTAATTGAGTAAACATAGTTTCGTCTCTTCTGGTGAGGCTTGAAGGTGTTTTTGGTCCCAGTCGGGGCATGATATTGTGGAGTTTATTGTTTAACTGGTTACTCCAATGTTTCTCCCACAGACTGGAGGCATCTGTGGCGTAGCAGTAAGGAGCTTCGCTGTCTCATTCAGGAGACCCAAGTTTAATTCTCGAGTGGGGAGAATTTTTATTGAGTATCTCTGTCTTTTTGCTGGGATGTTGTATCCCTTTCAGCCTGGGTTGACAGGGCCAGAAGCCCACCTCTTAAAAGATCTAAATTGTGTCGATGAGGGCATGAAAACTCTCTTTTTTTTAATGTATGGGATTCAAAACAAGACTTTTTTTTTCATTGTACATGTATATGGGTACACCCAAAAATTATTACCAAAAGAGAAGAGGCTTGCCACTAAGGTGTAAGTGATAAAGGAGAAGAAAAAAAACTTACCTCTTCCAGACATTGCCATGGCAACCAGACTGGCACAAATGTTAACCATGTCATTTATCAAATATGGACATTTCTTCAGGATGTAGTCTTGGTCTGAAAATCACCAAAAAAACATCATAATAAAGCTGATTCTTGATTGAGAATCTCCTTATCATGATTTGTTAAGACTTTACTTAACCTTCACAGTTTCTTTTCAATACAAAAAATAAATAGCGGAATTGATATTTAACCTTTTACCTTTTCATTATAAAAATTACATTTGTTAAAAATCACACAACAAACAGATCAATTTCTCAAACAATCTCTTGAAACAATCAAAATTCAACAGAAAAGCCCCAGCCTGCAGATACATCAATATGACAAGCACCTCTATGGACTGTCCAGTTACATACAGTTTGTTTTTTGTTTTTTTGAAAATTAAACAGAAGCACATCCACATGATAATCACCATTTAGTGCTGGGAAAAACAAAAAGACAGACATAAACAACAGAGAGGGGGAAAAAAGAGGTAGAATCTATTAATGGCACCCTTTAACCATCTGAACAATTTTTTTATTAAACTAAATAGAACAACAACAACAAAAATGCTTTTCTTTTCTATCAACAATCTGAAATACAACGTGGTTTCAAAGTTTTTTTATAAATTCAACAAAAAAAAAGGACTCACTGTGTAACCGCCATATTCCTCATTGCTCTCCCCTGAGTGCTGCCATTTCAATATTGTTCTTTTTTAAATTAATGCGATAGAATAAATTCTGAACTCAGAAACCGCAGTGGATCTGACAAAGGTAGGCAATTAAAACAGGACTTTGGCCACAGCATATGTGGCATGGGTTGGCAGAGAATTAGAATTAAACTGAAGAGTATTGTTTTTCTCATATCTCACCAATCTGTAACGTGTTGGGGTTTAAAGGCACACGTTGGAAGTGGGCCAGCAGCAGAGTCCTGGCCTTCACACTGTAGGCAAAACACAAAGGACGCTCCTTATTCTTCTCCTGAACATTCTGGAGCTGTTTGATCAGCTGGAATAGAAACGAAAAAAAAAAGTCATGAAACAAGCACCTCAAATGAACAAAAACTTCATTAATTTAATTTAATCTCCATTGACTTGGCATAAATGCTAAATTTGTAACCCTCCCCCGCATCTTCCCGCATCATGATAATCAAAACATTCTGGTTCTTGTTTCTATAAAACATAACTATTTTTCCCACTGTGACCCCGTCAGTGATCCAAGATCCTTGCTGTTGAGCACTAGGTCAAGGAGTTTTAAAAAATGGGTCTGACTTTATTTTTACCAAAAATTAATCTGTGTTGCTTTTGTTGCTGTCATTTGCAAATGTAGCAGCTGCTGGGCTCTTACTTTGCTATAAGCCACAACTTTTTCCTCGACGCTAAAATCTGTGGCTTAAACAACAATGCAGCTTTTTAGAAGATTTTTTTTCTTTTGCAGGTGCAGTATTCCATCTATTCTTAGTGTACACCTAAAATATAGAAAAAGTTGACATATTTTCCTAAGCACCACGCTTTAGCGTTCCCTTAAGAAACACTGTCCAACAGATGAGTGAGTACTTTTCGAGACTCTCATACATTCAGATGCCTCGGGGTGAAACCTACAAGCCAGTACGGCTTATTTGTAAAAAAAAGTTCACAGATTTTTTTTAAAATTTAGTGAATGTGGATTATATACAGAAGCGCTCAATAGCCCGGACTTAAAAGAGTATGAAACTATCTTAGCTATCTTTCCTACCTCATGAGAATGAGAACACCCCTTGACTAAAAATTCTAGGTTGTAAATTCTATCCACACTTTACAATCCTTCATAATAGAGGTGAGAGGTCTTGGATTGGAATGATGACAGTTATCTGTTGGGTCCTTGCACTAAACCTGAAACTATTCCTTTCTCTGCAACAAATTACACATTTGGTAAAAGAGTCATATATAATAATAAAGATATTTGGGGGAAGGATAGAAACACAAATCTAATTTTTTTAAAGGGAAATGGGATCAATCGGCAGCTGTTACGCTTGAATTGTAATCATTTTAACTCAAACGTACCAGCGGCAGTTCTTCATTGTCTGTTGGTCTCTCAATCACTTCTGCGTTATGCATGCGGTCAAATTCACAAGAAGCTGCCAGAATCATCACTGCCCCTGTTAGAGACAAATGAAAACTCAAGAACATAAAGGAAATCAACACTTCAGATGCTACCCGAACCATGAATGCAAATCCTTGGTCAAGATATATGATTTCTCAACCAAAAAACTAGGACCTCAAAACTAGAGGGTTTGTGGCTTCAACTTTTGCATCGTTATTTTCTCCAAGTACTTTATCTGAAACACATCAGTCACAATGGTTTGCCACTCACTTCTCTGTTCAGTTGTTCTCAAGAAAAAAAAATGTTAAACCTATATTATCCTGGACTATAGCACATCAACCACTTTTGCTTGAAAATAGAAAACACAAATCCTTATGATGATAGCAATCTAGAGGCCCATCACATAAAACTGCTATCCAGAGCCAAGTTGTACTTATGTCAAGATACCATATGAAAATGAAGCTTCTTGTACCTTCCTAAAATGTTTGAGTAAAGAGAAGCACATCAATATAAATTAGTGCCAGGGAAAAGTAAGACAGACAGATAGAAAGGAAAACAGGACCTACCAGTGGCATCCTCCAACCACCCACTTTCTCAAATGTGTAAGTTCAGTAACCTTTCATCAGCACATGATACCAAGTTTGCAAAACAAAAGGCATCAGACAAAGAAAAAAAGACTTTTTTACGATATGTCATACCACTGCACATGCAGCATGCGCGAGAGAAAGGTACAATAGAAGACCACATCATTCACTGTTTTTAATTTCTTTTAAAAAAGTAAACATTTTTAGGTAAACACATAACAGCTGACCATTGAACTGCAAAGCCCCAGAACAGAGCAAGTTTAACAGTTCTTGCTGGAGGACTAATCCAAGAGCCCAACCACCTAAAATATCAATGACATTGCGCCCCAACCATCTAACTCATAATTTTTCTGTGATATCTTATTCTTAAACAAGCAAATAAAATAAACCTCATTTTAAACCACACCTATTTACCAGTACATCCCACCCACAAGACCAGTAGAAAAGTGCTAAATACTAATGGGATCAAAGTATGTTTACCCACATTTCAAGAAAATCAGATTTGTTTCCTTCTTCTGTAAAAGCATGTCTCCAGACGTCAGATGGTTTTCGCCAAAGGCTGTTAACATTTATTTCCCAAAATTAAAGAAGCACTTACGTTTCAAAATCATATTCGAAGTTTTGTTGATGAAATAATAGTAAAGCCGAGTTGTGTCCAGCAGAACTTGGTCTCCGCTAAACTTGATGGACCGGTACCACCAGATGCCCTGAGATAAAGTGAAGGGGCATATTCTTTAGCATCAAGTGTCTTAACCATGAAACAAATAACACATTTTATGCCTAGGAGGCAAAAATTAAGCTTTAAGAAATGAAGAGTAACTAAAGACAGAATATCTCTTTTTAAAAAAGGGTATTAATTTTAATATAATAACAGAGATGTATACATACAAATCTTTGCCGAATTACAAATGATTTTTTTCTCAGCAAGCATTCTATTGTTCATTGTGGATTTTCAAAATGAAGCCTTCTTGAAGACAAAATTTATTGATCATCAATAGATGTTAGAAATGTGACCAAAAGCCATTAAACAGCAAAACATTCATTGTAAGAGATTGATTGTTACAGTCTGACCGATAACAAAGTTCCTTTACACCGAGATCTTTTGCAAGGTGCTACTGAGTAAAAATTCCTTATCAGCATTTTCTCCATTCTTATTCCAAGTCCGGTCATCTTGTTGATCAAAAACAGTTAACAGTCAAAGATCTACAAGTCCCAGAGCATCAGTCAACACCTGTTACTTACAAATTATTTACTAGCACAACTCACCACAACGACAGGAAGGACAATCATGAAGACCACCCCATACAGGGCTAACACCTGGGAAAATAGGAAATTTATAAAATCAATGTAACCAAAATGAGCATTCCTTGGCACAGTAATTTATTTTTTGAGAGAAAAAGAATAACAGTAACGCTGCCACGTGCAGCACTACATATATTCTTTAACACAAGATCAAAGAGGGATAAATATTTCTTCAAAAAGAAAAAAAAATTGAAGTATTGAACTTGAACATTGAGACTGATAAACAGTAAAGCCTCAAAATGGTACAGATCTACAACACAAGTTAGACAATTGCAGAAAAGCATAATCTTAATGCCAGCAAAAACCTCAAAGACAAAACATAGCCTCAAAATTCCAAGTGAGAAATGTATTTATGTGTTCACTTGAAGAAGTCTTTTTCTACAATAAACACATGAGTAAGGGTGCCTTAAGAATATCAATTCTTTCAAGAAGTCAACAGACACTTATTATAGACTATGACTTTTCATCAGAACTCACCCACATAGAGTTTTCTCTCTCAACAATCCATTTTGGTAAAGCAATGCCAACTCGTAATGCTGGGGAAAAAAAAGAAGTGTCAAAAGATAAGCATATTGTGAAAAAAAATAATTTTTAATCCATAAGCTCATTAATTTCTATTGTAAGTGTTTTAAACCTCCATCCACACAAATAACCTCATTTGGGAGGCAGACGGCTTCAACCCCAGGGTTAGTAGGATACAACATCCCAACACACAGGCACATACATTCGTCGATTTAAAAAACTTCCCCACTCAGGTATTAAACTCATATATCTTTTGTGTGCAATAGAGTGGGTGTCGCATTCAACAAGGTCACATTCAACGAGAAGTCGGCTACAACGAGGCAATCCTTAATCCCCGATTTTTTCCTCTATGTCTCTTTGTAAATGTATGTCAGCTCCAGCGAGGTTGCAAACAGACCGAAGTTGCTTTCAACGAGGTCGCGATAACCAAATAAAAGCAATTAGCGGCCCCAAAAGAAAAGAATTATTTTCCTTTCTGTCCATCACACGCGAAGCACAAGGCCCATCCTCAATTCCTAACACATTGTATGGCTAGATCTAGTGTGCCTCCTAATATTGGCCCCAAAGCCAAGAGGATGGGCGAGGGTTAGCCTATGGTAGGGATGGGAGGGGGTGGGTGGAAACGCAATGTGGTCTGTGTGAAACTGGAAGAACTCTGGATGGGTAGGTCTAGATCGAGACCTTCATTTTTTCAGTCGAGAGGTGGAGTCCAACGAGGACTACAAGCCGGTCCCGGCAACCTCATTAAATGCGACACCCACTGTACTGAAGAACCTAACCATTACACCATACCCCTGTACAAGTATCTAGTCTAATCCAAACCAACAAATCCTCTTGAAATAAACTTAGCTCAGTTATCTCAAGTCTGGTCAGTTGCAAATGTATACTCGCTAATCAGTAGAAATAGAACATATGACTGACAACATCAAGCATTTAACAGGCTGCAACCCTGTATATCCAGGAGGGACTGAGATTTTTAACTGGAATCGAGATGTCTGGCTAGAAAAGGGAGTAAATGTAAAGTGGTAAGAACTTTTCATTGTTGAAGACGTAAAGCAATAAATATTCACCTTTAATATATAACTAATTCTGACAAATCCACATGCGTGCGCCTATGTGTACATGGGCACTTTTGAGAGTGCTAAACAAAGCATATGTAACAGGCATGTAGTAATCTGTAAATAGTTGTCGATTCTTTGTTCTAGTACGAGTTTTATGGCACTTGCAACACAAAAAGGTCATGGAAGAGCCGAACATTAGATATGTTACAAGACAGTAACACAAAAAAAGGAGGGGAGATAAGGAAAATAGATGTTTGATGACAGACAGATAGAAACAACAGAAGGAAAGAAAGAAAAGAAGTAAGAAGCACTGGAGGCAGTTTCCCACCACCAGTGACCATAAGGAAATTTGAAATAAACTCCATCAGCACCATTGAAGAGGTGGTATAGACGGCAGACACTATGAAGAGGACAAATGTTTAGGGATTTAAAAAACTACATTAAAAAAAAGAACTTTCCATTCCTCAAGAAACTAAGACTTACACATAAGTATGGGTATGGTCAATGCAATAACATTACAACAGAAAAGACAAATAAAACTCTTTACCTTCAGGGCCATCTGGGTTTCCGTGCTCTTCCCAGTTCTTTCTCGACTCTTCATCTGTTAACCTGTTATTCAAAAAGACAAATGATTCTCTCTATCACAGACAAAAAAAAGCTTTTTATGCTCAAATATAGGCAAAGTGTCAAAGATGATGGATAAAACACATCTGCCCACGACATTTAGAGTCTTTCATTACAAACAACTTTGGCTACCAGAATGATACTGGTGCATCTTTGAAAACAGCACATGAATGCAAGGCACTACCTTCTAGTAGGAAAATGGAGGGTGCATGTAAAACTCAAAGGCACTGAACATTGTAGGACCTACAGTTAACTACCCTGAATTATTGTGATATTGAAACTGTTTATACCTGTATCTGCACAACTCAAATCAATTAGGAGGTGGAACGTTTCCAGCCAACAGGTCAAGATTGGTCAGAGGCTGAGAGAGACACAGAATCCTCGCAAACAGATGGAGATACTCTCAACAAATAGACTTTCCGGCTCTGAAATCAAACTCATATCCTCAACGCGGAATGTCAAAGACAAAAACCATTGCGTCACAGATGCAGTCTACCTACTCCTGAGATCTAGCAAGGGAATGAAGAAAAAGAAACAGAAAGGCCAGCAAATTTAGGACACTTACGCTGCATATGCTTTAGCAATTCTCATGAACTTCTTGGGGTCGCCAGTCTCTCTGTCTGGATGGTAGATCAAACTGAGTTTGCGATAAGCTCGCTTGATTTCTGCAGCAGAAGCTCCCTGGAGAAGAGAAATTGTTCCTTCATATTAATTCTCTATCTAAAAAACATTGTTTTTGCAAACTAATGTTCTACACCCTCAGTGATATGATTTAGGTCATTAAAGAGACTGCCTGATTCAATTCTGCCAATACGGGTCGACCTGGACTGAGAGGGATTTTACGTCTTCGCAAACAGACGAAGACACTAGATTGAAAAACCTCCCCATATGTGAATCAAGCTCACATCTTCTGCATTTGACAGCAAAGGCCCAACCACTACGCTACAGATGCCAGCATTTCTTTATCTTGGAGCCCGTGCTTGGACTTGGAAAGATATTACAGAGTAGGGATTATCTGACAGCGAAAGTTTTGTTTTTAATCATTGGTGTGTGAGCCTGGAGAAAGGCTCCAAATGTCGACAAAGCTATCTTTGAGCAACACACTGAAAAGGCCAAAAAAGTCATACCAGGTCAAAAATTTAGTAAACACACGTTTAACCATTTCTTAATAACATACCTAGTGAAAGGATTTTATATTTTAAGTCCAAATATTTTTTATCAATTATTTTTCAAAAGGTACTTCTCCAAAGGTTATAAATGTGCTAGAAATTGGGTCAACATACTAAGGCTACAGCCATATTTCTCCAAACTTTGCTTTTGCACCCTGTGTCACAAAATGTGGAATATCTTTAAAACTACTCATGATATTGAAGAAAAAAATTTTTAATCAGCGTGTTCAGCATTTCATTTGCTACAAGATTATGCCCATACTTCAATATCCAAAATTTCCAACAAATGGGACTTTTCTCCAGGCACACACAGACATTTATAAGGATTCAAAGGCTGATCCTACATGAATTTTTTTATTGATTAAGTCTATCCTAGTCTTAAATCATTGCATGAGTCATATCAATTATATAATTACAGGATTAACAATGTAAACAATGAGTTTCATTTCCTACTCAGACAATAGTCAAAACCCCTGTTCTGTGTCTTTTCTCTCACTATGACCTACATTATCCCTCCTCAAGTCCTCCCACCCAACCCATACCCAACAACCAACCATGATCAGTCACTAAACAAAATAAAAGACAGCATATAAAACTAAAATACTCACGCGGTCAATTCCAAGTTCATTAAAAGGGTCATATTCAACATAATCAAGCTGAATCATCGAAACTTTCCAAGCCAGCAAGATAAATATCACCCAGCCAACAGCCAAACCAATTTTACTGTGAAAAAGAAAAAACAGAAAGGATAAGCAAACACAAAATTAAATGCAACACCACGCGGTGAAATCAGGCACTTATCATTTTTTGGGGCATGTGAAGTTATTGGTGTCATCTTAAACCTTGTTCATTTGTCTTGCTTTCGGTGAAAAAAATACCCTTCTATCTTGAATAGAAGTTGAGATATTTGAGTTTGAAGTAGTTGGGGGTTGCCTGGTTTCCGAGGTCAAATTAGTGAGAAAATGGCCACCAAAGTTTGATGACTTCCATTGCATTGAGAGAATTTGCAAACTTAAATATTAAATATTTAGTTCCTTTGATTAAAAACTTTCAGCAAGATCCATACAGAAATGCCTTTTCAAATGGAATGAAAAGTGGTGAGATAAAAAATAAAAATTCAATTTAAAAATTGCCAAACCATAGGAAAAATACTGTTTTTTTCTATTTCATAATTTTGACGAGTGTCTGCTTTCATCATGATACCTCACAAATATATTTCATAAATTGTAACCATTTCATGCCGCTACAGATACGCGCTAGATCAATTGGGAGGTCAGCTACTTCAACCTTGCCGGTACAGGCAACTCCAGACTGAGTGGAACACAACATCCCAGCAGACAGACAGACAGACACAATAAAATGAAAAGCTCCCCATTTGGATATTTATATAACTCGCATTTTCTGAGGGAAACACTGAAGAGCCTAGCCATTACACCACAGACATCCTTTAAAGATTTTCTGGGGGCTCTCGTGGCCTAGAGGTTAAGGTGTTGGCCTCTCATTCAAAGGTCCCGGGTTCGAATCCGGGTAGTGACCTAAAAATTTTCTTCTCTAAATTTGTCTCCTTTCCTGCTCTCTAGCAATGTTCTGCCATCTGCTTTCGTCTCCTCTTTCTGCCCCCACTCCCTCATCTCCTTTGCCCCCCCTTCTGGGCTCCTGTTTCTTTCTACAGCCTTTCTACTGCTACTCCTTGGCTTCTTCTTACTGCTGTCTTTCAGCCACACCCCTGATCTTCTGGTAGGAAAGATCTACACCTAGCCTTCTCGGAGAAGGGCGAAAAATCTCGAAGGGCCCGTGTGCAAGTTGCGCACGTTAAAGATCCCTTGGCGGTCTAAAATCGACAAGAGTAGGCTTCGGCCGCCACCAGGGCAAAATTCAAAATTTTCTACCAACTGAAATAGTTTAATGTGTCCTGCGAGCTCATATGACCTTCTGCAGTGCAAACGCCGTAAAACACTTACAAAAACAAACAAACAAAAAGATTTTCTCACTCACTAGTATAAGACTCAGTTCAGACTATCACTAGGAGTTCAGCAAAACAAAAAGGGACATAATTCACTACTGCATTAAGATTGTGATCCAAGTAACAAATACACATCAAAGGGCATAATCCATAAGGGCTAAAACTTGTTTTGGTAGGTGATGGACTTGTCTAACATAAAACTGCTTTCCAAGAATATTAACTCAAAAGAACCAACATACTTTATGGCATATGTGAGTAAAAAACTTATGCACTTCCCAGCTTTGCTGAGCAATTTCTGAGTGAACATAACTGTAAGTGCTTTCTTTTTACTCATGTGTCTGTAGAAAGGCAAAGCTAGTTACCCTCTTACTAAACTTTGAAACTTTGTAAAGAGACGACAAGGATATTGCCAGAATTCTTGTTACATGCATACAGGTGAAAACCAGCCGTGCAAAAATTCTCATAGGTAGATCTGAATCGGTTGACAGAAATTAAGAAGACTTGTTCTCTTCATTATCTGCTATAATCAGATATAGCATAATGTCATTCCTTTCCACTTATTTCCTCAACATAACCAAGATGAATAAATTAATAAATTAATTACTTTAACAACAGAAGAAAAATATTACCTCTTAACTTATTTCATTTTCATCTTCTGAGTCATACAGAATTTAAACTAGAAATGCAGTATAAGTAAGAGAAAACGTACATAACAGTTGGCTTGATGCTAGCCTTTTCCTTTGCGATGTTTTCCCTTTTCGTAATGCACTTTTGACACAGACATCTTCTCTTTTTTTCTTCATCGTCTGAAAAATAGAACATACAATCATATACACATCAAACACGGCTCGTATAAACAGAGCTGCAGGGGTAGATAACTTTAAAAACATGGTGAATGTTATCCAACACAATGGCAATTAAATATTAACTTATTAAATAATGTTCAAATTTTAAACCATTGTGACCATATAATAATGTAATAATGTGTTCTTCTTACTTTGGTATTCAAACCACACTCAAATTCAGAAAGAAATAGCAATCAATTTCAAGCATAATAAAGAGAAAAGAAAGAAAAGGGAACACTTTTCCTTAAAAAATACTCATATACAACATGTAATTTGCAAAGTCAAATGCTGCTTGTATTCAGGATGAAGAATGCAAAAAATAGACCCCTCTAGAAAAAACACCCAAAAAATGCATTTAAATTACCCATTGCATATTGTCTAAAAGCAAGAACCCTGACTGAAAAAAAATGTACGTGTCAAAATATAAAGAGTAGAGAACGTGTGTACAGAGCAGGCTTCACTATTCTGTTGCGAGAACAGGTGCTTCTTACCACCTACCTCCCCCCCCCCCCCCCCCCCCCCCCCCATACTGGACATGCTTGACTCCCTCAAGTCTCAAGTCTTATCTGCCTTCCTTCTTCATCTTTCTACCCTTTCGCGGTGAAAAAGTGTGGGACTTCAAAACGATTAGCAGTAGTCAAAAATGTTATCCGACACACTTGAAGATGAAACATCATGGAAAAAAATTCACATGAGGCCAGTATAAAAATGGTGTAGGACAGTTTAGTTTTAGTAAGGTTTTACAGCGCTCGCAACTGCCTAAGGTCATATAAAAGTGCCAAGGGGTGGATGTCAATAGAGAAGTCTGCTTCGACTATCAAGGCACCCCAGAATAGTTCACAAGAGACGGCCCGTGATACGAGTGTAAAAAACGCTCCAGCGCTCTGCAGTTGATGTCAAAGAGACAGAGAGAGAGAGAGAGAGAGAGAGGGGGGGGAATGGAAGGAGAGAGGGAGGAAGGGAGGGAGGGAGGGAGAGAGGGAGAGAGAGAGAGGGAGAGAAAGAGGGAGA